GGAATTGTTACTTGTTTCTTCAGGCTAGACTGTCTGGATGAGAAGATCAGAGTCAAAGCCATTGGGTGTAATTTAGCAGTAAACAGTTCAAGGCTTGTTACTTAATGTTACTGTTTCCTATAATCTTGGGAATTATTATCAGGTTGAAACAGAGGAGGCAAAAGATCAGAATACATGGATAACTGTAATCCAGCCATGCAATAAATGGAGCATGGATCTGGCATAGAACAATGGCATTTTCAGAGCAATTACAGCATCAGTAAGTTATACCTTGAGAAATCAGTGCAATCATGCTACATCATGGTGTATCAGTCTGGTCACCATCTTGCAAGCATCAGAGGATTACCCTGAGTGATTTACTCTACTTCAGGAGGAGTCACTACTTTTTAACTACAAACAACAATACGACCAATTGTCATTGGATCCTTTATGCTGAGGATGGCTGCTACTTTTGAGAATCATCTTCAAGAAATAAAATACCCTAGAAGAGCATCTTTTATTTGATGTTTTCAAGATATCTTCACAGTTTTCAAGGAACATTTACCTGATACCATGTTCTGCCTCATTCTTACTGGAAAAAAAGAGCGCAATATTAATTATTCTGTATCTCAAAACAATAAAAAATCAGTTATACCAGTCAAAGGATTTGGAATGCTAGTTGAAAGCTGAATCCCTCAGTTTTGTAGAAAAATTAAGTCATTTTAACAGAGAGTTATTTCAGTACCAAAAGACCTTAGAAATACCCGAAGAAAAATGAGGTACTGGGTTACTGGAAGAGCAACACTGTCACGCGTTTACTGAAGAAGCTCCTCTATAACCTCACATCTGGAGAAATGCTGGAGAACTTCCACATGCAAGTAGGCAGATAGATTAAAAAAAAAAATTGTGTTGGATTCATCAGCTGATATTGACATTTCAGCATGTGTGTATATATATATATTTATTCTTGTCTTGAGGAACAATTGAGCGAGCTCTGGAGCAACAGAAGCCATTGACTGTATTGTTGTGTTGGAGTCTATACAGCAGGAGAGTACTCCAAGTTTGTCTTTGCTGACAACGAGATTAGCCTATGAGTGAAAGAAGCAAAACTCCCTGGCTAAGCAGCAGTGGCAGTACTCAGAGCTGAGCTGTGTCCAAATACCCCCACTTCACCTTGGTGCTCTGCAAAACTGAAATACTTAAACACTGGTCATGCCTGCACTACTATCACACCTATAAAACTGCTTCTGAGGGTGTTGCTGGCTCAGAAACAGAAACTTCTCTCCTAAAATATGTTTGTGTGCGTTTACATTTATCTTCTTCACTACTCACCTGCTTTACGGGATTGTGTAAAACTGCCTGGAAAAACAAAAAGAAACTTTTTGAATCTTGTTATTTTTTAAACAAGATGTCTATTGAGAATATTGAAATATAATTTCAAACTTTCTTGTTTCAAAAAGAGAAATTTTTTAAAAATCCACTCTTCTAAAAGATAAAATAATATTCTGTGCCTGTAAATATCTGTGGTCATAAAAATTGGCATCCCATAGTAATGACATCCCTTCAGAATATTCTCTGTGTGTTCACACACATGCACCCCCACACCCATATTCTACTTTTGACTATACATTGGTTATTTTTTTTCTCTCCCCCTGTCATTACCATATGTTTCTTTCTGAATGGACATGGTTTAGTAGGTTTAGTAGGCATGATGGTATGGTGTTACGGTTGGACTTGATGATCTTAGAGGTCTTTTCCAACCTTAATGATTCTATGATTCTATGAATCTGATGTTAAAATGTTATTTCTGTTTTCATTTACTGTTTTGCATTGTAGATGAAAACTTCCATATCAACTATTGTAGGTGCAAATACTTACTGTTTAGTTTATAACCTACAGCAGCAATAACAGCTATGTTAAGACATAAAATTACAAGGCAGGCCGTCATCCAAGGTGAAGTGGAAGGAAAGAAGACATCTGTAAAATACAAATTATGTTACTTTCACTGAATGCTTGTGAAACAGTTATGACAGGCCTCAGTGCCCAAAGCACATGAGTCTAGTGCCATTTTATTTGTGATATTAGCTATGTGTCTAGTGCCATTTATTTGCTATTTATTTGTTTTTACGTGTAATATATCCTTTGCAGCCTCCTCCTGTCACTCCTAAAGATTGCAGGTCTTCCCTAAATCCCAAAACTTCCATGTGCTGCACTGCCAGCTCAGGCCATCAGAGATAGTACTAGATGCCTATGTGCAGGCAATCGAACTGTACTTCTACTTTGCATACACCCATACTCATTCAAACTCGGACTGCCACGGGTAGAGGCATGTTTGGAGAATCTACCTCTTTATGAGGGAGATGTGCTGAGCAGTCCATCTCTGACACCGGTATCAGCGCTGTTGAACCACAAGATGAAGTTCTCAGCAAAGGAGAACTGTCTTTAGCGGCATTTCAGATGGAAAAAATAGGATCCCCCTCTTTCTCATTCGAAATAAAATTGCCTGCTTTCCAGACTAGGAATCCATCTAGAGGGAGGCGCACGCTGAACCTCACAGTAATCATGGTGGTGCCAGGGAGAGAGAAGGGGATGGGAGCAGACATTCAGCATTTCCTATTGGCCTACTCCATTTGTCTCAGGTCATTATACTGGGAACCCTGGCAGAGTTGTAGGGCCTTTTTTCTCCTCATTGGCACTTCTAAATCCTTCCCTCTTCAAACTGGCACTGTGCTCTCAGGTAACGAGAACTCTTGCATTACTATTTATAGCTAAGACGTATCTTGAATGTAACAAGTAATCTAACCATTGGCACTTCTAAATCCTTCCCTCTTCAAACTGGCACCGTGCTCTCAGGTAACGAGAACTCTGCATTACTATTTATAGCTAAGATGTATCTTGAATGTAACAAGTAATCTAAGTCTAAATCCTTCCCTCTTCAAACTGGCACCGTGCTCTCAGGTAACGAGAACTCTGCATTACTATTTATAGCTAAGATGTATCTTGAATGTAACAAGTAATCTAAGACATAAAGATGGACTTGTTAGCATGTTATCCATCTAAAAACCAGTCATTTGTGCATGGGCTGGGTGTCCAGGATCACTCCAGGGTCAATGGATAGACAATGGACAGCAACCTACCAACTGGTCCTGACAGCGATTGATTCTGGAGGTCACTCACCTGAAATCAGGACTCGGGATTCACACATGGCGTTGAGTAGGTTATTGACTACTCTGCAGGAGACCTCCTTGTCAGATCCTGGCTCGAGAGTCATAGAACTTACAACATCAAAAACACCCGAAGAAGTCTTCATGGCCTGGGTGGTCACTTTTTCCTTCCGTGTCTGTCCTGTGCTGTTCAGCCAAACTATCTGGGGCTCTGGAAACCATCCCTGTGATTTGCAGGTGAGGCTGATGCCCTGACCCACATGACCATCCAGGAAAACTGAAGACTCATCACTTTTAGCTAGAGAACAGCAAACAAACAAGCTCCAGCAAACAATCAAGCTCCAACAAACAGGAAACAAGATATTCTCTCACCAAACAGTATGTTTGGAAGGTCTTTCCCCGATTTAGCTATAAACACAGTATGTAAACTTATCAGATTTGAAATTTTACTTCTCATTAGATTGCTGGTAAATAGCTCTTCCCATGTTACAAGAAAATCAGACATTTTTGTACATAATTTCCCTTTTAAAGTCCTGATAGGGACACCTCTTTGGACAGATTTTTGTTATCTCCATGAACAACTGGAATTAAAATTAAGTAGCATAGCACTGACTGGAAATTTGCTGGTAAAACAAAGTTGGACGGCATCACAAATAGATGAAAATCGGAATACTGAACAGAAAATAAGATGATGTGTAGGGCAAGAGTGCAAGTAATGGGTTGCACTACCAAATGCAGTTTCAGTCAGGCTTCAGTCACTTCACCTCTGAATAAACACGCTTGTTTTACCATAGGATTCATCTCTTTCCTATTTTTAAATGTTTTAAAGCTAAGGTGTTGCCTATGCTTCCTCTGTAAGACTTGGTAAAAAGACATCTATGACTATTCAGAATCTGCTGGCAGTAGAGGAAGCCTAACATATAGCAGAGGCTGGTCTTTCACACGCCTAAAAGCAAGTAAGATGAATCCAGCCCGTTGGTACTAGACCTTTCTGATGTTATACAACTGGACTAAGGAAGAAGTAGCAAATGTCTGCCATTCCACTCACCTGCCACATGCAGGTCAACCACCACCTCGTCATACCAATTCTCATAAAAGACACTGCAGGTGTATTTCCCTTTGTCCGAGAGCACGACATTTTTCAGGTGAAGAGACAAGTTTCCCTTCTTAAATTCAGACTGAAAAAAATTTGTCCTCCCCTGGTATGCGTAATCCTCACGAACTGGATTGTATGTGTTTTTTCCGTCATAAGTGGTAACGTCAATTTTTGGGGAGTCACCAGTAAATATCCACTGAACGGAAAGTCTCTCAGGGATTATATTAACTTTCAGCTGACAGGGCAAGATGACTCCTTTTCCAATGACTCCAATGACAGGGTTGTCAGGAGAAATAATTTTATACTGGCCTGCAAGAAGATATAGACGTACATATTATCTGTCACAGAATCATAAAGTCATTGAATCATAGAATCATAGAATTGTAGAATAATTTTCATTGGAAGGGACCTTTAAAGGTCATCTACAGCAACCCCCCTGCAATGAACAGGGACATCTTCAACTACATCAAGTTGCTCAGAGCCCTGTCCAACCTGATCTTGAATGTTACCAGGGATGAGACATCTACCACCTCTCTGGGCAACCTATTCCACTGTTTTACCACCCTCAGCATAAGCAATTTCTTCCTCACATCTAGTCTAAATCTACCCTCTTTTAGTTCAAAGCCATTACCCCCTGTTCTATTGGCACAGGCCCTGCTAAAAGTCCCTCTCCAGCTTTCTTGTAGGCCCCCATTAAGTACTGAAAGGTTGCAAGAAGGTGTTCCTGCAGCCTTCTCTTCTGCTGGCTTAACAACCCCAAGTCTTTTTGCCTTTCTTCATAGGAAAGGTGTTCCATCCCTCTGATCATTTTTGTGGCCCTTGTCTGGCCTCGCTCCAGCAAGCCCATGTCTTTCCCGCAGTAAGGACTCCAGAGGTGGACACAGTACTGTCACATACGTTTTCAGTGGCACTTCCCATAGGAAATTGGATTACATACAGGTATGTGAATGCAAGAAAAAGGAGCTATTCTGCTCTGGCAAAAATCAATAAATCAGAAAATCCTCTGGACCAGTATGGTATCTCAAGAGCAAGTTCCATAATCCCCCACTGTGAAGGCTAGCTTACCAGGCAGAGACTGCTGGGATAAGAGGACTGGAGAGGAAGATCGCCTGTGACAGTAATCAGATTATATCTCTGTAGGTCCATATGAGCATATACAATCACATTTCTGTAACTGAAGGCCCCTGCTATGCTCTGCCATGCTTCACCACCACCACCACTTATCAGAGGTAGAAATGGCATGTCTATCATGCAGAAAAACTAGTTCATTTTGTAAAGCTGGAACTCACAAAGGTAGGCTTTTGCCTACCTAATTTCAAATGTCCATAATCTTTTCACTAGAATGGCTGTGTTTGGTGATGAAACACTCCATAGTAAGCACATTTCATTTCAAATGCAGGCTACTTGTTGCAGAATGGTTGTTGGTGAAAAACGACAAGCTCAGTGTTGAGATTTAACAGCAAAAACACTAGTGGCCCTTTACAGAGCTTACTTTCCCATTCAGTTCACTACTCTAAAGTGGGAGATACAGCCAAGCTCAAAAATTTCTCCAAAAAGAGAAAGGAAGCTCTCTGAAAAACAGTTGGGGGCAGGGGGTGGGGAAGGCTGTGAATCTGTTTACAATCCTATGTTGAAAGTTTAGTGGAGTCTTTAGTATAGCCTAGGCCTTGTACCAGCTGCACGATTGAAGTGTATTAAGATTTCATATAATGCTGCTGTTTGCTTCTGGCTTCAGCAAATGAATGGAGGGAATGTTGAGTGTCTTATAGATATAAAACCAGATATTGTTACAAATATTTTGCAGATAAAAAATGCATTTCCATCCCCCCACCCCTACAAATCTATTTTGAATTTAGTTAATTATTTATTTTTAGATCTAGCCATGAACTCCGGAAATTAAATAGCTTTTCAAATAACATTGTGATTCGAACAGAACTTAGATTTACCTGTGACCAAATGAATTACCAGTAGGAAAATAATGATGTGAAGAGTTGTTGCCTGTTGATATCTGGAACCCATCGCCCTGCAGTTTTGCAAGACATTAATAAATAGAACTTCCAGGACAAATCTTACCAGATTCCTGAAATCTTTTCAAGCACAGAACAGAAAATCAGAAGAGTGAATCAAACTAGAGCCATATGTTTCTCTATACATCACTGCATGTGGAGTGACACAAGGACAAATTGTCAGAGGTGTTTAGGTACTTTTGAGTGATATTCGGAAAATGACAGAATAAGCTGCTTTTAATGGAATTCAACCAATTAAGTTGTGATTCTAAGACTTACTCTTGGCCACCAGAGAAAAGAGAGTTATTTTTGAGTGTTCGGGAAACTTCTAGCCAGGACAGCAGCATTTTTTCAGATGACTTGGGGCTAAATCTAAACCAAATAGGATGCATCTACCTGCAGGCAGGTGAGACCATGAGGCAGACAGAAGTCCTGCTAGACAACATGTACTGTGCACTGAAACTCCATATGTTGTTTCTCTTACTCATACTTGCTAGGTTAAAACTTCTGTTGTCATTGTTAATTGGAAGAATACTCTAGGATTTTTAGAAAGGATCTTCAAAAATGCCAGAAGAGAAAAAATAAATTTCTGCATCATTCCTGTTTTAAATAAAAAATTTACACACTTCTAAGACTAGCAGAAGCGTGTGCAATTTGAAACCATGGATTCAACTTGGGAAATTCCTGACCTTGGCTTGCAAACTATTGTTCCAGGCCTACATAGTCAGTAAAAGCAGCAATGGGTGGAATTCACCTGCTGTATATGAGTTAAGTATGTATGTTTGGATCCTTGGAGGGTAATACATAGGTAGAGATGAAGCAACCTATAAATTGCTGTAAAGAAAGTCAGAGGATACACTGGCATGCAGATTCTAGGGGCATAAATTTAGGTGCACAGAATCTCACCCGATGTTTCAGTAGCTATTTTACTATAAAATGTACTTTCCTCCACTTAGTTTTTCATGTAAACTCTGAAAAAAATTAGACCAACCTAGACTACTTGTATCACCAAAGTCAACATGGGAAGGGATCGATTTCCTTAGAGCCCAAAAGCATTTCTCTTTCTATGCAAGGTGCTCACTTCGTTGTGAAGGCTAAGCCATGTGCACGTTTCCTTTCCTAACAAAGGAGAAACGTGAAGCAGTAAAGAGTTGAAAAGGAAGCTAGGGACTGTGACTGCAGAATGCCAGGGCTGTTATTGTAATCTACACTCATTCATTGCTATTTCTCTTGAATGATTAACTATTCACCAGAAGGCATTATTAGGTTTTCCAAGATGTAGAGGGAATGATGGAAGAATAAAAAGGATTAAAAACTGCAGCAAAGCTACAGAGCCGTGTCCAGCTTGTGTTAGATTTATTTCTGCTTTACATTCCTCAAAATCAAGCAAAAGTCTCTCAGACATGGGACAAATGTTTTTTTTAAAAACAGGAAAGACAGAAAATAAATGGCAAAAATTTGCACCATAGACCGGGTCCAAAATTTAGCTAAAGATTTATTGCTTGCACCCACATGAAGGTAAAAAACATCGTACTTCTCTTTCCAGACACCATGCGTCCTTGGATACTGGCACCATCTGATACGTGCCAATCAAGGAGCAGAGATTTGATTCCCACACACTTTTGTGTTGGCAAAGGAAGAATACACACCTGGGAGACAATACTGGGAAATAAAGTATTGGGCTCACACAGATCCTTGGACCCATTTAGTTTGAGTGGGAAGCTGGAAAAGATTGGGATCTTTCTGGACATCTCAGCCAAGCAGCTGCCATTTTACAATGTGCGTAAGAAACCAGCTCTGTACAATTTTACCATTTACCATTACACTCTCCAAAACAAGCTAAAGGCTCTCAGACACAAGCCATTTATTATTTTTTAAAAAGGAAAGACAAAATAAATGCCACAGATTTGTACCATTTACCAGCTGGAAAATTTAGCTATCTTTCATTGCTTGCACACACATGAATGTAAAAATCCGTATATGTTATATGGATCATCTGCAGAATATATTTATACCTGAGTATAAATCATTATCATTATCATTAATCAAGATTATCTGTGTCATGGTATATATAATAAGTCTCATTGGTATATACCTACCAGACAAATAAATAACAAGTCTATACTTCTGAACACAAAAAGAGCAAATAAATTTTCTTTCATAAGTGGAAATCTATTTCAGAATCAGCACGTTGCCATCCTCAGACCAACCCCATCCACCGCAACAGTTTCAGCAAACTATCTCTTTTGAGCAACGTAGCAAATAACAATTAGCATTGTGGTGGCAAATCTCTTTAAGGTTGCTAGGAGGTAGAATCTGATTCAAAAATCAAAATCATAGATCAGATTTAGGTATTATATACTCATAAGTAAGAGGAGTCTTTTATTCATTACATTAAGGCAATAAATAAAAAGAAACTCAAATGATCTTTAACAAGTTCTTTAAAACGGCACCCACAAACATAACACATTCCCACTGACCCAGGCAAGAAGGAAGCCTTTTCAGTACCAAACTGGAATCATTTCCTGGGGGCTGTAAATAGCAAACCACCAGCTCAAATATTCACGCAAACCCCTCCAAAAACCTAATCATGTGCAACTCTGTTTCAGTCAGACTTTAATTCCTTACCTGAATAACAAGATCTGAAGTATCCATTTTAACTTCAGCATGGTTTATGGAGGTGAGGAACCTTTGGCTTGTATTACCTGAGCAGAAGTACTTTCTCTTTCCATATCTATAGAGAACACAGACTTCACTGATTTCCTCACTAAAGCTTACAAGTATTAAAACCTGAACTTTAACCACAAATGATTTTTCTTGCCCTTGGGTGCAATACTCCAGCCAATACGTGCAGATAGCAACAACCTATAGTAGGAGATATCCAAAGGCTTGATTTGCCTACACACCTCGTTCTAAAGTACAGTGAGAGGATTATGTTTCAAATCCTTTTGTACCTGTGCAGTGCAACTCATTTTCTAGCATGGCTTTCCAACAATTCTATAAAACTGAGAAAATGGCATGAATGGGAGGTAGAGAAACCAAAATGATGTGTTGCATGAGCCCATTACCCACTAGGATGATTTGAAATTATACAAGACAGAGATCAGCTGGGAAAACAGAGCAATTTAGAAACTGCACAGTTTAGAACTTTAAAATGCAAGACCTTATGATTCAATTACATCAGCCTTATTTCTATACTAGAGAGAGAGAGGAAGTTAAGATCTGTAGTGAGCAGAAAAACAACTCGATTGGCAAGACTCAGACCCTTCACAGAGAAAAAGACTAATGAACATCTATCTGGGGTTCAATTTCCCTTCACTTAAAGGTGGGATGGATTCTGCGTACAAAGATGTTGCAGGCATGAGGCCACACCTAGACTGAAAACTCTGGGGGTTTTTGTGGCCCCCAGGCAGGATCCATCCTGTTGTAGAGCTGCCTGTCCCTCCTTTGACTGGAGAGGGACAATAAATCCAGCTGAAACCTGAAACCTTGTCTTCAAACAGCCAAGGTCACAGCAGCTTAATTGGAATCCAGGGCTGTGATTGCTTTAATAAAATACAGTGGTTTATCATATCATGAGATGAATCATAACTAAAACTCCATTGTCTTTCACAATCTCAGGAAAACAAGTGTTTGTTTCACTTGAAGATTATCTCTGAAAATGAAGGCACCTCTCTCCAGACACAGCATTGAGGACCGTCCTGATAAATAAATGGAAAGCTAAATCCTGACACATGGAGGAGGGCTCCTTTTATCAAACTTTTTACCAAAAATTGGAGGTTTATGATCATTTGCATTTGTTCCCTCGCACACTACATCCTCAAAAATGTGTCAAAAATATTTTCAAAGTTACGTGTACTCTCTATGCAATACAGAGATAGGAACTTGGAAGTATTACTTTCACTGGGTGTACTGTAAAAAAAGCTGTAAATGGTAGCTTTTTTTCCTAAAGAGTAATGCCTCTGCTGTGGAAAACTTAGTACTGTCCTTCTGCCTCATTAAGGGAATAGATTGGTTATTTCCCTATTACGCCTTCCATATCCAGTTGCAGTTCTCTTACAAAACCAGCCAGCTCTTAATTTCAGAATCACAGCTAGATTAGATGATACCAAAATAGCACTTTGTTATATAGCTTCTGATGAGTGACATTAAAATCTTCTTGGGAAGTTACATGATAATTAGGCAGGAAAGACCTGCTGTCAATACTTCTTCCTGCTAAGTCCAAACATGACTTGCTTTGGTGACACCTCCCTTTGTTTGCAAATTTTTACACTTGTTTTCTAATAATTTGCAATGAAAATAGAGAGTGCAGTAGAAGTATTAGGGTTAGAAATAAACAAGCTAATTTTCTCAAGAATCTATAATGACATTATAATGAAGTATTTACATTATTGCAGCTTCAATTTGTTCTCTGCTATTCAGCTAAACAAATTCTAGCAGAGATCCCAGACATTCCCATTTTGTGTCTTTATGAAGCATGTCTTTTTTTTTTCCCTGATAAACAAAAAAGTGGCTAAAAGCTTTCTGTACAACAGGTTGCCTTTCATATATCATGTTTCTCACAATGCAAGTCATGTATACTAGAAGAATTTGTCAGACCTAAAATATTCCTACCTTATTTTCTTCAAAGCTGTACCAAATTCAGCAGAATCAAGGAGCTGTGCCTAAAAGGTGTATGGACTTTGGTCTGGGCCATTAAAAACATCCCAGGCAGAATATTGCATTCCTGGGCATTGATGGCATCATCCAAATGCAGATGAAACGGGGAGTCCAGTTATGAAATTCAACCCTTACTGCTATGGTGTTTCTATGCAAACAACAAGATTCACATGAGAGAGCATCACATTTCACATTTTTGATGTCATCGTAGGCTCCGTCATTCAGCAGGTTCATTTTCGAGCAGTCTTCTCCATGCTTCCAGCAGCTTTGTCTCTGGAAATATTATTTTGCAAAACTGTTTGATGCTCATTCCAAAGTCTCTTTTGCTACGTGATTGTAGGATTTAACACAAATGCACCAGTATCCAATGTCCTAGTGTAAAGAGAAGACAAAATCTGTTTTTCTTTTGTTATCTTGGAGGGTGTCTGAGAGTAGGTCCAACTGACTGTTGAGAAAAAGCCAGCCTTGAGTGATGGGGAGACTCTTTCTCTTTGTATCAAATGTGGCGGCGTGGGGTGCTAGGAGGTTATTTTATTTCACTTTATTTTATTTTGTTTTATTTTTCCAGACAGCACTTCAGCTAGCTCATGAACTCCAGCTATGCAGTTATTGCAGGGAAATAGATTATGACTGTAGCCCTATTACATAGATTAATTCCCTTGGAATAGCACAAATACTTGCCTTTCCCTAGAAGAATATGCAAATCTTTTTGCAGAACTTACAGAAAATTCATAGCTCTGAGAAACTCCACTGTTCAATCAAATTTGGACAAAATTGATCAAACGAGCCTCAAAAATTTGAAATATGAAAGAGATGGGTACAGTTTGCCTTGTAGCCTTTGTTTCCACAGTCATGCTTTTGTTTCAAGAAGTAAAAAAAAATCCACCAAAACACCTACTCAGTAGGTATTGAATTTCAATGACAAGAAGAAAGAAAACCAGGACAAAAGACACTACCCCCAGAAAAAAAACCAACCCCCCCATACAAAAAATAACCTCAAACCAAAGCATATTATCATACTGCCTCACATAAAACCTCCGGGACATCCCTTTTTCAAGAATCTTCTGTACAATCTGGATATATAAAGAGAGACAGTAGTCTCCTGAGGGCACTGAATGCTTGTTCAAAGGATGTCCAGGAGGCAGAAGAACTGACGGATACAAGTAAGATGAAAGTTGACTGAAATTGTTCGCTGATCATCAACAGGACGTAATAAGAACAATATGGAAAAAAATCCCAACACTACCTAGATCCAGATGCAAACAGAAACACTTCAACTTGCGGTAGAAAAGAAGCTCCCTGCTAAGTTGTTCATGACACACTTTTAAGTCGTACTGCAGTGCCTTCTGGCTAAATGGTGGTTGAATATAGAATAGTTTTGCACAGGAGGATGAGAAGGAACTTCCCTACCTTGTTCCACCTAGGAGTATAGAGAGACAAACTGGGAGACAAGAAGATATGTCGGTCTTGCAATATGAATCTTGGCAGCTGCCTTTCCCCCCGATCATACTGCCCAGTCCTCTCTAGCCCTATTGGATGTGGAAAATGCAGTCATAACCTTCATAGGTGATAAAGATAGGAGGACAAAGGTTCGCCACAACCATATCCTGTAGAGAAGTCTTAAGGTTCTTGCAATTCAGGTAAGAAAATGTACTTTTGCTAAATCCATGAAGAAAACCCATTGCATTTACTTGAATTAGCTGGTGTGGATTTAATCAGATGCACTGACAGGAATGAACCTGCTTGCTGTAGATGCATTATTGCCATTTTCAGATGGGAATACCTCTCTCTGACAGCACTCGATTTCATCAGTGACTGGAGATGTGAGAAAAAACACAGAAAGCTGGAAGAAATCAGGAGCTGTTATATCTATAATTAAGATGTGTTGTGCCCTTTCAGCTCACTAACTGGTTTGAGTTACCTATCTTTACTCTGAGTATGCTGTGAGTATGGGTTAGTTCAGCAGTGAGTTGAAAGCAAAGACCTTGGGAGGAAGTTGAAGAAAGTCACATTTGTTAAAACACAAGTTTCTCTTTAAAATGCTGATGTAACTCAATGGGTAGATCAATGTGGTAACATTGCTCCTGGGAATTTAGCCATCAGGTGGTTTGGGGTTTCTTAGTATAAGAAAGGAAAAGAAAAAAAAGAGCAGTCTGATGACATAAAAAGACAAGACGAAATGCTTTAAACTCCTCACTGAGAGGAAAAAATTCCCAGTGAATGTAATAAAGCGTTTGTGGAAGACAAAGGTAAATATGGACAGCTGAGTAGAGGAGGCAAAAGGTATATTTCCTGTGCACCATTTGTGTAGTTAAATTTGACAGGGAGATGAGGAAAGAAAAGATGTCCTGCAATCTGCTTCGTCTTTGGCAGCATCAAAATCATTATGTGTAAGTTCATGCATATTTTTCTCTATTATTTTATCTCTGCAATTATGTGTCGTGTTTTGCATTGAACAAGTGAAGAGACTGAAGGAGTCACACAGATTTTTCCTCTGGAAGCTTTGTTTTGGTCCTGTGGATGAGTAGGAAGCCTGGATATTGATGGGTTCCCCCTTTTGGTGGCTGACAGCTGTTCACATACTGACTTTTCAATGCAGATCATGCCTGATTACAGGTAAAGACAGTTCCATTTTGAATATATTTTAATGAAACAGCTTATTGATGCCTAGGTTCACAAAAATGTGAAAGTTAAAAACAATAAGTACATATCTTTCTCCTTTTTGACTTGGATGACATAAAACATAAAATGAACACCAAAGGCGGCCATGGGGCAGTTGGATATGTGTTAAGCTACCTGAAACGTCTGCTTAGGCTGGATGATAGCGCTGCAGGAGACTTGTAACCCTCTAGACTGGTGACTGGAGGCCATTCAGGAACCTCCAGGGTAGCTCAGCACTAGATAACTAGGTGTAGCCACCTGAATTGTGCCCAAGGTTTTGGATTTGGCTCACAGATTTAGCTGCCTACGTTTAGCTTCCTACAAGTAGGTGTCTGCATGCAAGCTCAGCATCTAGGATACAATTCAGTGGCTCATCCATTGGCATCTACCACTATTTTAGATAGTGTAAGATCATCTTGTTTCTTCTTGATATTCCAAAAGAGAATAGACCTATCAGGTAGCCTGTGTCACGTTTGCCAATCCTGTGTCACATTTGCCAATCCTGTGTCTAGAGTACCTCGGAGCATCATAGCTGGGTGTTCAAGGACCTCTGTCCCATCCAATGAACAGACACTGCCTACTGTAGAATGAATAGAACAGACTATTGGCTAGATCCCCCTTAACTGCAGTAGGGATGTGCTAAAGTCAATGGTTGAACTGGAAGTGGCAGGTCAGTGGCAGGTCTCTCCCAGTTTAATTAGAGATGAAAGTTTTGCTTTTAGTTCTTGTTGCGGTCCTAAATCACCCATTAGTGACAGTCCTCATGATGATTAGGAAGCCTGGTCATCGAAACCCGGATGTCTCTTTTCAGGTTCCCAGTTCTGAACCTTAATCCTACTCCCCGAGTTATTCAAGTGCTTAACCACAGATGCCTAGCGCCATTGTAAATGCTTTAGTGTATCTGAGATTTCCTGTTAAATGGAGCTAGCAGATGTGAGAGAAGATTAGCATTGACTGGAGCACTTTGGGCTTGAGCAGATGCATTCCCATATGAAGTGACATTATATTTAATATTAAATATTTCGTTGATGTTTCATGGTAGATTTTTAACTTGCCATAGAATAAAGCCATGTTACTGTGATATGAGTTCCTTGCAAATCCATGTTAGTTACTATTTATTTTGTTATTTCCAAGACCTTTTATTCCATTCAGCTATTTTCCTGAAGACGAAAATGAGAATGACTTCTACAAAACATCCTGGTTTTCCCTGTTTCTCCCTTTCAAATACATATGTTGTGGGCGAGATTCATCTCATGTATCTTTAGAAATATGAAAGCTGCACATCTAAGATTCGTATAGTGACCCTAGAGTTCACCATTTGAAGAAAAAGTCTGGAACAGAGAGCCATTGCCCCTTTAACAAAGGCTGACCTCAGAAGCTGCCTATTTCTCCCCATTCATTGCAAAGGAAAGCTAGGACATCTAGCTCAAAGGTAGATGACCGAATCATTGTACATGTGATTCAGGTGCCAACATGCAAATGTCTAGTCCTTCTAGGCACTGCTGCATTCTGGTCTGTTCTCTAGCTTCTCCTTCGCATGAGTGCAGACCTGTTGGAGGTAGTATGCTACATATGCCAGCACCATAGCGATATCTTCAATACCCTACGACATTTCAAATGGTACTAGGTACTGGCATTTGGACATTTGAATCCCATCTTTACTTTTTTGCTAGATAGATCCTACATCATGTATTTGACCTTTTGCAGACTTCTCAGTGCTCACCCATTTTCCGTGATCTCTCAATAGCGATCATTTAATTGCATAAGTCTGTGTTCAAAGTACTAAGAATAAATGACATGAGCCTCACATAATGTGAACATTACCCATCTAAGTAATCTGCCATGTTACGTTATTAGTTTTCTTCTGGATTCCTCTGCTGTTAACAGTGACATTGGTTCTACTGGTTGCCTGATGCAGTGCCACAAAAATGTGATGTGGACAAACAGAAACAACTACCATTTTACCTTCACACAGGTCAATTTATTAGCACTCCTCCTAATAGTTCCATCACTGGAGTCATTGGAGAAGGGGTACTTCTGCCCTGCCACGTGGTAGCAGATGAAATTCCTGAGGAATTCTCTGTCCAGTGGATATTTCATGAACAGTCTCAAAAAACAATTGTGAGCAGATATGATGGAAAGAATAAAAAGGAGAAACAAGATGAGAGATATCAAGGCAGAACAGAATTCTTCTACGGTGAATTTAGAGCTGGCAATATGTCTCTGTGCTTGAAGAATGTCAGGAGCTCTGACAAAGGGTCATACACTTGTGTGGTCTCTTTCAAAGACACCTACCATGATGTGTTGATTGAACTGCAAGTGGCAGGTCAGTGGCAATTCTCTCTCTTTTTACTCAAAGATGTAGCTGAACAGAAACATGTATCTGTCACTGACTGAGGGAATTATAATATAAAAGTAATGTGATTAGACACGTAAAATATCTTCATGGGGGTATGTGTTTGATTTGAATAATTTTTCTCTAAATTAATGGCTATATCGATTATTTGAGGTAAGTTTTAGTTCTAGTTTGAGGTACCTGTATTTAGGTACCTGAACACATGCAGCTGTATCATAGAATTGTAGAATAATTTTCAGTGGAAGGGACCTTTAAAGGTCATCTACACCAACCCCCTTGCAATGAACAGGGACATCTTCAACTACACCAGGTTGCTCAGAGCCCTGTCCAACCTGACCTTGAATGTTACCAGGGATGGGACATCTACCACCTCTCTGGGCAACCTATTCCACTGTTTTACCACCCTCATCATAAGCAATTTCTTCCTCACATCTAGTCTAAATCTACCCTCTTTTAGTTCAAAGCCATTACCCCTTGTTCTATTGGCACAGGCCCTGCTAATAGTCCCTCTCCAGCTTTCTTGTAGGCCACCTTTAAGTATTGAAAGGCTGCAAGAAAGTGTCCCTGCAGCCTTCTCTTCTGCTGGCTTAACAACCCCAACTCTCTTTGCCTTTCTTCATAGGAGAGGTGTTCCACCCCTCTGATCATTTTTGTGGCCCTCCTCTGGCCTCGCTCCAGCAAGCCCATGTCTTTCCGATGCTGAGGACAGTATTTCATAGACTCCGAATTGATGACCATTAAAAAACTTTCAGGGCCCAAGTCTCTGTCACAATTTAAAGTCAGAAAATTCTTTCTATGTACTTCCATACAAATATACGTATAAAAAAGAAGTGTTGAATTCAAATAAACCAGAAAATTTCCTGTTCTCTGTACTGGATGAAATGGATAATACATATACTTTTTCTTAGCTAAAGGTGGTGTGCCTTCCATTTTCCTGAGGAGTCACGTGAAGCAAGGCATTGGCCTCACCTGCCATGCAGCTGGATGGTTTCCTAAACCTGAGGTGATTTGGCTAGATGGCCAAGGACAGGTCCGGAAGGAACTACCAACTACAGAGATGACAATGATGCCTGCAGGCCTGTACAGTGTCATAACTTCCATAAGCCTAAACCCAGGATCTGACATGGAAGTCTCCTGCAGGATAGTCAACAATGCTCTAAATACAATCAGCGAGTCTAGAGTCCTGATCTCAGGTGGGTGATCTTTGTAGTCACCTCCTTGTAAGATCAAAAAGACAGACTGCCTAAATGGCATGGGTCCCCTTTTGATGTCATGTGCTGGCCTGAAGATGTACTCCTAGAATCAGTGTTGGAAAAAAGTTCATGAGAGCTGCAGTCTTCTTCCATCTTTATTTCTAGTTGACTGCACAGCCTTTGACAGTACCTAGTGAATCAGTTTCTCTTTTTAAAAAGGGGTCAGGTAGTATCAAGACTTTCTGTGTTCCCTGCTCCAAATTTAAGGCAGTCAACTTGTTTGAGCTGAATTAAAATGGATTAAGAATACAACTGTATGCACATACAAAAATGACATAATTCCTTAGCGAAGGCCGAGCACTCTAGAAGTTTTCATCATCCAGAAATAGGTTACGAGGACTTTTAATAAGATGTGCATTGGTGGGTTTCACAGAGCGTAGCTGAAAACAATGGTTATGGTCACAAGAGTTAAACTGAAGATTTCAACATCTCAAAAATGCTTTTAGTCTATGTTTTTATTTTCCCTCTTTTTAATATGTAAAATATTGTGTAATCATGTAATCATGGTGTGGATAATGTCATGCCTCCCCGTACACAGTAGAAATTTACTCATTTCTCTTTGCTGGGTATATAGACAAGTATTACGTAGTCTGCACCAAGCTTTACAAGGCTGGACCCCAAAAAGAACTTCAGCAGCACAAAGCCAGTTTCTAGGTCTGGAACGGGAACTAGAGTAAGAGCAGTGTAAAGCTCTTGACGAAGTGTGTGAGGGAAGTCCCTTTCAGGGTGGCATCAAGAAATCCCAGAAAATTGCATGCGGAGGTTCCTGGAAGGAGAAAATAGGAAACAGTGAACACGAGGAATGTCTTAAATCTTATTTTCCTTATGGGCTTATGGACCATTCTCAGCAGGGTGAATCAGACATTCATTGAATCAAAATAAGCAAGAGGGAATGTGTCTCTTTTCCCAGTGGTGATGGTTTCTTCCTTCATTCCATCATCTGCTTTAAGGTTAGTTTAGTATGAAAAGCAACAGATCCGTGAAAAAAACTGAGCCACTCTTGCTGCTTTTTTCATGTCTCATGAAATGTGGAAACCTGTCTACTTATCTCAGACATCTCTTTCATAATTCTGAATCTGATACCCAGAGAAAGGGTCTCCCTGGATTAGTCCTGCTGGGGAGGGCTAGATCTCTTCCACAGCAACATCACCAGGAAATTTCAAGTAAAATACAAACTCACCACCTCCTCAAACATAATGACTGCATCCTAAGTTATAAATGTTTTTATGTTTTAATCAATGGTAGAATATAACTCCTTTTGGTATTTTTACAGATGTTTTCTTTCCCTCCATTTCAAACTGGCTGATTATCTTCCTGGTAATTTTATGTCTTAGCATGGTCCTAATTTCCACTGTATTTTCCAAGCTGAGAAGTAAGTACTTCTTTGTATGTTATCTCAGTCAACATATAGAAATATCACAACAGTTCATACTGAAATCCATGGCTGTAACAAAAGCTCACAAGCAGAATCACCAGTGATTGTTTAATGAGAAAGTTCAGGAAATGGAACAAAAAAAGGGATGGGAAAATACATGGCCTAAACAAGGAGGAATGCAGATTGTATGACCTTACCTCAGATGGCTCTAGGTCGGACAAGAGGAGCTCTGTGAGCTGGACTACTTGTGTAGTTCCCTTTCTATAATCATTAGGGAGATAACTCCAGAGTGCTGCCAATGACACTAGAGTCTAAATGGCAAATCAGAGAGCTGATTTCTGTCAGTATTACTCTACAAAAACACGCAAAAAAAGGTTTTTTTTTTCTTTTTTTAACCAGGTAATCACAAGAAAACAGTTAGCTCAGGTAAGTAATGAGGAAGCTGAACATGAAGATTACGAAAATTTGTAAGCTGGAATGTCTGTTTATATAAAATTACAGAACTAATTAGCAGTTGTAATTGCATCCAAATGTTTTGTATTTTTTAATTTTATTTTTGCATCACACAATATAATAAGTTCCTGTATGAGTGTTCTTCATTTGTGCTTTACAGACAGAGTCTGTTTCTTTCTTTCATTAAGGTCTAGTCATTATCATACGCTGACATCCTCTACCATGTCATACATGTTCAAGCTTTGTTTGTAATTGTTTAAGAGTTAACTAATTGATCAGAAGCATTCCTCAGATTCTTTAGAAGAGGAGGAACTAAATGAATTAACCAAACCCTCAAGAGCAATTCAAGGATCCAACCCAAGGCCATCGCAAGACTCTGAAAGCAACTTCTTTGAATACATCTGTTTGGTACTCACCACCTGTGTCTGTACTTGAAAATAAAACGGACCAGTTGGCATAGAATCATAGAATAGTTTGGGTTGGAAAGGACCTTTAAAGATCTTCTAGGCTGGCCCCACTGCCATGGGGTAGGGAAGCATGGCATAGCTTATGTGGATTGTGTTGAACTTTCCTGCTCACAGAGTATCCACAGTCAAACCATCAATTTATAATGACCCTTGGCCCATGTTGTCACCTAGATGATACCTGCTTATTGTTTGGGAGAGTACTAATTGATCCATGCCATAACTATAGCAGGGACAAATGAATTGCATGAAGTATTTTATTCCCTGAGGCACAACAGTTCTGTTCCCTGACCAGGTTGGGCAACTGAGGATACACATGTCCATGGAACAGCAAGGATTTATTGCTAGTCTCTGAACCCCAGTTAGGCTATGGCTGGGACGAGACTCGCCTAGGAAGGACTGGGTGACTCAGAAGGCTACCTCATTTTTAGTGAACCCCATTAGAAATGAGACACATCCTAGTATAAAAAAATAAGAATTCTTTGGACTAACAGGAAGCTTTGGGAAGTTTATTAGGTTAAATTAAATCAAAGTTTTAACCCCACTTATTCCTGTTCATACATAAATCACACTGTTGTGTGACAAGGGAATTTTACAAAAATAATTAACACTATGATCAATTTTCTCTATTTTTCAGTAAAAGTGAAGATTGACATGGAAGAAGGTAAAACTCCTTTGCATTTGAAATGATGCTCAGATGTTCAGAGATCTCAAAGACATAAATTCAGGGAAACAATTTTCAAATGTTGATTTTCAATATAGTAATTGCAGGAGTGGCAGCCCTTTTTAATATTAAGGAAAGAGGGACAACCACACATAATAACCCACAAGAAGCCTATTCTCTAGTGAAGACTGCAGATGTTTACAAGGAAGTAATGAGGACCAGCAGTGACCTTTTTGAAACCTCAAACTAAATCCCCGCTGTTGGATGGAAATCTCTTAGCAAGTTTGTAGCACTCCTCTTCCTGGTGACCATGCTTCTGCCTCTTCCAAGATTACTCAGAAATATCTTTAGTTAGCTGAGTGGCCCTGTAAACCCTGTGAACTTTATTTATGGATCACCCCTGGGAGCTTGGATGCCTATGGCTCAATCTACTTGTGCACATACAGGTGCCTTGAATCATTTGTCATGTCCTTGGTCATCACACTTACCTCCTAGCTGCTACCCTGGAAGGCAGCACATACCTCATTGATCTTTGATTGTATCTGACAGATATTATGTGAACTAACAGAGCTTATAGGAGATGAGAGATCTTCTAGAGGAACACCTACACGCCGCTTGGGGTACCTCAGAGCATCTCAAATGCATTAGGCATCTATGCATCTTAAATGTGGTCAGTTAAGACATGATCTAAACAGGCTTTGAGAGAAGACCTCCAGCAATAATACAAATAAGTCTTGTTCCCTCTCTGCTTAACAAGTTTTTATCTAAATACAATGAAGCTGAAATAGTGTGATACATTCATGGGTTAAATTGTTGAACTGGATTTACATGTACTTCAAGCACTCACCAGTGTAATCCAAGGATGCACTTGCTAGATGGTTATACAGTTCATACCGTGGTATTGGTGAGTGGATTAAGCCACTCTGTCAAAGAGTTTACACTGATATCTGTGTGCTGTTTTTTCTAGAAAAAAAAGAACTGAAGTCAACGTTAGGTAAGATGCTTTTGTTGTTCATTGTGTTTAATTGTCTTTGTGCTAAAGTTATGCCTACATGGGGTTTTTTCTGGGTTGCTTTTCTTTGTTTGTTTGTTTGGTTGGTTGGTCTGGTCTGGTTGCTGGATTTGATCGCACTGTTTGGTTTGGTTAAGCACTTAAAATGAAACGCAAGGTTCAGCTGAAGAGAACCATTTTCATGTGAAAAACTCCAGGCACAGTCTGAGATATTCACTTTACTTTTTTTTTTTTCCCCCCAGAAAAGGAAGTATTGAAGTATTGTAGAATTTTTGTGTGTGTGCTTAGCTGTAAAAAAACCTAACAGAATGTGTGTTGGAATTACGTATTTCCCATAGAAGTGACACAAGTTTAAGGTTTTGTGAAATGCAGTGCCAAAGTCCACTAAGTGACTTTTAACTTCCACTTTATATCTGACAAGTACTCTGTTAATGTTATTTCTTTTACCCTATGTGCTGAATTTTCAGAAGGGGAGAAAACCAAAAATCGAGAAGGTATATCTGATTTTCTTAAAATACTCCTTGAAAATGGATGCTGTCTGGCCTCAGAGAAAATAAACTACTTTGTTTAATTAGCTCACTTTTATTTAAAATGACTTCTCAGAAATGTTAATAGAGGTGACTACGTAGCAAAGACGCCAATGTTATTTACTTCTCTACCTACATGTGCAGAATGCATTATGCCTTGGACCTTGATTATGGTCCACCTACACCTCTTAGGCCTCTACATTAGGTTTCTTCTGTCCCTTGTGGTTTAATACAATCATGTAGGTTGGAGAAGACCGTAACAATCATTGAGTCCAAGCGTTAACCTAAGTCTACCAAGTCCACCACTAAACCACATCCCTAAGCACCACATTTCGCCTGGACACAACCACAAATTTCACAAAACCCAAACTCTCAGCTCAGCTTTCTCATTCTGTCCTTTCCCTCCTTTCACATTACTAAGAAAAACCTGTAACAGTTTTTATCTTGCAAATTTGATGACAGAAATCTCCCACATCAGTGTACACACTGTTCCCGTAAGGAACAACCGGGGATGCCATTCTAATGTCTTTCTCAGAAATGCGTTATTATTTTTGCTTTGAGTTTTTATGTCACTCCTTTCTGCAATTCCTTTTCAGCAAAATCCAAACTCAAAAAACGCATTGGTAAGAAAACGCATTTTATGTAAATGTGACACTCTTGTCAAGTTTACAAACGATAAGACAAGTCTTCAGGTGAGTATGTCTTTGTTATCCCTGGATTTGAAGCCAAGTAATATGGTGAAATATCAACCTATGGAGAGGAATACTGTCCTATTCCATGCTTTGGGGTTCTCCTATTTTGAAAAACTGGAACAAAAAAAAAAAAGCAACCAAGTGTTAGTGACTGGACTGTCTTTCCCTTTCAGGTCGACTGAAAACAGAGCTGGGTAAGTGGTTTAAAAATGCTAGTAATTAGAAGTATTGGTGGGTTAAGAGGAGGAATGCCATCACTGATGCAAAATCACAATAATGACAAAAATCGCACATTAGTAGTATTCTCAGACTGAGAAGTATCTAACTTCCCAGTAGATTGATAAAAAGCTACTCTCTCTTTCCTTTCTGTAGATTTCTGGGAAGCCAGAAGCCATGCAGGTAAGTTGGCAGGAGGAAGCGTGTGAAAATGCAGTGGCCACCTGTCCAAGCTACCCTGAAATGACAACACCATGATTTTAGAGATATACCGACTAAACTGGAGTCACAGGAATACGCCTGGCTTGGTTAGCGGGAAATGAGACTGGGATGTGGCTGTTGGGAAGACCAAGAAAAGAAGTTGCTGAAAGGTGTTCCAAGTCTGGGGTGGGATGGGGACACAATTCTGGAGAGGACAGATGGTGGTATGGAAAAGAGAGATTTGTGGTAAAGTGTGTGGACTTGCACCCCCAGAGAGGACATGGCTGTGAGAGCTCCCAGGGGCCTCTCAGTTCATCAGTGATTGCATGCCCTGTTCTGGGGAATTTTGAAATTCCTTGTGGAATTGCACCAGGACTGTTCAGACCCTGGAACACTTCATCCCATAGCCCTGTGTGGAGAGAGGTCCTTGAGCCACTCTGCTGATTGGATGATTCTCATTTTCCCCTCCAGTTCCCATTACTGTGAATGCTGACTGCCAAGTCCTGGAGCTCCAGGTGCCAGGGGCTCCAGATGTGGGGAGCAACACGTCTGAACCTGCTGTCCCGAATGCTGCCTCCACGGTTCCTGTCCTGGTGGGGAAGGCAGGGTTCTCAGCTGGGAAACACTACTGGGAGGTGGACGTGGGCCAGCAGCAGGACTGGGTGCTGGGGGTGCTGAGGAAGACAGGGAGACCGAAGGAGGAAGGGTTCCTTCCTGGAGAGCACTACTGGGCTCTGCACAGATCCCAGGGAGACATTTTCTCTAGCGAAGGAGACCACCGGATTGCGAAGCAGCAGATGAGTGATTCAGTGATTGGTGTGCATGTGGAGTTGGAGAAAGGGCAAGTGAGCTTTTATGAAGCAAAGCAGATGGGCATCATGGTGAGCATGCCTCTAAGGCTTGGAAAGGACCCTGCGGAAATGTTTTACCCATTTCTATCCAAAAAGGAAGGGGAGCACACACCTGCTATCCACCCGGTCTTAATCCCTGTCCCTTTGGAGACACTGTAAAAGGAAATTCTGAATGAAATGGGTTTTAGAATCAAAGATCTTTGCCAAGAGGTCAGGCTTAAGAGGAGGAGAGACTAGAATGGCTTGGTACATCTGTAAATATAAAATAAAGATATTAGGACTGAGGAACAAAACACGAAAAGTTGAAAAAAAAGGAGGAGTAATGAGAGAAAATTGGAGTGTCTCAAAACAAAAAAAAAAAGCACTTTGAAGCAAAAGAATTTCTTAATATTATTTGTTCTCAAAGAAGAGAACAGAGAAACTCTCTAATGATTGCTTTTGGTTTGAGAATTTTTTCAAAGCTCTGTGTGAATTCCAAGACATGCATAAACCATCACAAATAAATGCACTCATGTAAGTCAGTCCAGGACAAAGATAAAATTTCCTTAACTGTTTTTTCTGAATGATCTAAGAAGAATGGGTATGAAGAAAGTCAATGCTTGGAGTAAGAAAAGGATCGTTGGAAGTGTTTCACTATTTAGTTAATCTATTCATATCATCATGGTTATTAGGGATTTTAGTCTTCTGCCCTTGTAGAGGCTCAGATGTATTCACTATTATCTCTTTAACTGAAACACGGTTGGGTGACAAGGATTTTTTTTTCCCATTTCAATGTGGTATTTACTCCTCATCCACGCAGCTTTGAGCTTTTGTGGGAACTGGATAGACATAACAACACCCTGGTCCAGTAGCTGCTACCCCAAGGAAAGATTGTTACCGGTACAGTTAAAAAAGGAGTTATGGGTCCCCCCTCTACGATATCAGATTTCTGTGTTTCACTTTGCATTTAAACAGCATTTGTCAAGTGTTCTGTTCTCCAGGAGCCTGAAAGTGTAATATAACTTTCTGAGTGGACTTTAAACCAAAGCATTTTATTGGATAGCCATCCACCTTGAATTTGAACCCGATCATTTTTACTACCAGTAAGTCCTGGCAGAAGTAACACTCAAAGCTGGATCTAAAAGAAACACATAGAGTTTTACTTCGAGTTTCATGTGTTTCCCACATAAACTCCAGCTAGTTTAGAGACTTGATGAATCAAAAGCAGCTAAGCTAATTGTCTGTGGAAAAAATCTGCCATGGAGAATAACAGAAAAACATGTGACTAAATGCCTGAATGTCTCCTTATACATGGGAATGTTACACAAAGCCTTTATAATAAATTGTACATAAACTGATCTTAATACCTTCGGCACTTTCTTTTCATTTTATTTTGTGTTTTCACACCTGTCTTGATAAATTTTGGCAAGCTGAGAGGAGAATATAACTTTTTTTCAGACTCTGAACTATGCATCGGTACAGGCTCGGGGTGGACCTGCTGGAGAGCAGCTCTGCGGAGAGGGACCTGGGTGTCCTGCTGGACGACAGGTTAACCATGAGCCAGCAGTGTGCCCTGGCTGCCAAGAAGGCCAGTGGCATCCTGGGGTGCATCAAGAGGAGTGTGGGCCAGCAGGTAGGAGAGGCTGAGGGAGCTGGGCTTGTTCAGCCTGAAGAAGAGAAGGCTGAGAGGGGACCTAATATATACTTACAAATATCTGAAGGGTGGGTGTCAGGAGGATGAGGCCAAGCTCTTTTCAGTAGTGCCCAGTGACAGGACAAGTGGCAATGGGCACAATCTGAAGCATAGGAAGTTCCGTCTGAACATGAGGAAGAACTTCTTCCCTCTGAGGGTGACGGAGCACTGGAACAGGTTGCCCAGGGAGGTTGTGGAGTCTCCTTCTCTGGAGATATTCAAGACCCACCTGGACAAGGTCCTCTACAGTCTACTGTAGGTGACCCTGCTTCAGCAGGGGGGTTGGAGTAGATGACCCACAGAGGTCCCTTCCAACCCCTACTATTCTGTCTGTGATTCTGTGATTCTATTTGTTGTGAAAAATATTCAGAGCTGCTTGTGTCAAGATGGTCAAATTCCGGTTAGAAATTGTATTGGGTTTACATGGCAACACTTTGGTAGCTGGGGGCATGGAGACTGCAGAGGTGGGCTCTGTGAGAAGACGGTTCTGGCTCCAGAGCAGAGACTTGCCTGTAGCCCATGAAAATTTTGGAAGCATCCTTGATGGAGCAGGTATTTCCCTGCAGTGTGTGAAGACATCATGCTGTAGCAGGTATTCATGCTGCAGTCCATGGAGAACCCAGCCCTGGAGCATGTGGATATTCCCCAAAGGAGCTGTGGTACACGGAGAGCCCACGGTGGAGCAGGTCGATACTGAAGGACTTCCGCTTGTGGGGACCCCACCCTGGAGTAGGTTCTCATGGCAGAAACTGCAGCCCATGGAGGACCCATGCTAGAGCAGATTGATCCTGAAGGACCGTAGCCCATGGAGAGTACCCATGCTGGAACAGGGGACAAGTGTGAGGAGGAAGAAGCAGCAGAGCAGAAAGGTTATGAACTTTTCAGAAGACCAAAAGGAGTCGTTGTACACATGAAATGATACTGTACAGAATGTGGACTGATACAGAGTTGCTTCAGTTTAAGTGCCCTCAACTTAAGCTTTATTCAGTGTAAATGTCTGTCCAGTAGAAATCTCCAGCTGAGATGGCTACCTTAAGGTTATCACTTTTGCACAATGCATCCTGATTTTCCAGTGTGTGCATCCTGTGGAGTGGGACAGCAAGGAGCCTGTCCAATGGGATGCAGGCATCCAATGGATGTGTTCCCTCCTGGTGTATCAGGCATAAGGTTGGGCCAAGAACAGAAAGATGATGAACAGGTTTAAACAGTGAGAGGTGCTTAGAGAATGTAGAGTGGTTTTAATACATCGCATACCATGCCATTATCAGTGTGATGGCAGGACGTAGACAAACTTTTGCATGATTGGGAAGACCAGACATATGATTACGACAAAAGGGCAGCCTGTAGTGTGTAGCGAAACCCTTATACCCCACAAACTCCTTGCTGTGGGTCAGTGGCATGGAGCAGGCTCGTGGAAAACAGTAATGGGATGCCTCCCACAATGCATGGGTCTTTACACATTTGCTAGTCAAAGAAGTCTCAAAAATCCATGGAAGAACCTGCCTCCTGGTCTCTTTCATCTCTTCAGAGTCTTTCTCCAGATGGACAAGTCTGATACCACCATGAGAAAAACAGACCTAACTTGGGGAAAATTAATTTAATTTACTGCTAGTTAGAATCACAGAAGGATTTAGGTTGCAAGGGACCTTAATGATCATCTAGTTCCTATCTCCCTGCAGGGACACCTTCCACTAGACCAGGTGGCTCAAAGTCACATTCAACCCAAGCCTTGAACACTTCCAAGGCTGGGACATCCACAACTTCTCTGGACAACTTGTTCAAGTGCCTCACCACCCTCCTAGTGTAGTTTGTTGAACCCAGCTTTATTCAAGTATGCATAAAAGGTGAGTCTGACCAAATTATTTACCTAGAATATGTACTCTAGGGTTAACAGAAGGCCAAGATTTTGACAAGGGCGGCTGATACAGGAAAGTCTAATCAGGAACTACTGCCCTTGGGAACGAAGTATATATTGGAAAAATATGTAAGTTAATTAAGATCTTTTGGAACAATTTGGAACTAACAGCAGAAGGATGATAAAGAGTTCCCTTAAATGAACTAACCTCATTACAATACTAAAAGTCACACCCCTTGAGTTGGAGACTCCAGCCCGAGCAGACACCCTTACTCTCTGAGCATACGTAGTAAATTTTAGGAGGACTGGATCTTTAAACTCAAGTGAGAAGAGAACTAACCAATCATAGTAAGGAGGGTATGGCTAATAGGCGGAACTAACATTTTAAACTGTAGAAATACGCTATGTGATTGCAACCAGGTGTGCTAGCTCTGTGGAGTTACCAGCTACCACCCATCTCCGTGCAGACATGAAATAAACTATTATCTCAGCTCTGTGTGCATGCTGGATGTTGCACACCAGGTAACAAACTCAGTTTGTGAGAAAACACTAGTAAACAATTTCTTCCTTTTATCTTCTCTAAATCCACCCTCTTTCAGTTTAAATTCATTATTCCTTGTGCTATCCCTACATGCCCTTGTAAAATGTCCTTCTCCAGCTTTCTTGCAGGCCCTTTCAGGTACAGAAAGGCTGAAAGAAGGTCTCCAGTTGCAACTCTCTCAGCCTTCCCTCACAGGAGAGATGTTCCAGCCCTCGGATCGTTTTTGTGGTCCTCGTCTGGACCTGCTCCAACAGGGTGCATGTCTTTCCTGTGCTGAGGGCTCCAGAGCTGGACGTAGGACTCCAGGTGGGGTCTAACCAGAGCAGAGCAGAGGGGCAGAGTCACCTCCCTCAACCTGCTGGACATGCTACTTGTGATGCAGCCCAGGAAATGGGTTTGGATAGTCAGAAACGGAGACAAAAATCTAAAACACCTTCCCCCCATGCTCCTGTTTCCCAGGCTTGACTTCATTATTCCTCTGCCTTCTCCTGCCCCAAGTAGTGCAGTGGCATGGAAAACTGGGGTGTCGTGGTCAGCCCATGAGAGTTCCTCCCTGCCAGACCTTCCTCCTCACACTTCTCCCCTGCTCCAGCATGGGCTTTCTGTGGGCCACAGTCCTTCAGGATAAATCTGCTCCCCAATGGCCTCTCCATGCACTGCAGTTTCTTTCCAGGAATGCTCACCTGCTACGATATACAGACCTCCAGGGGCTGCAGTGTGAGTACCTTCTCCACCATGGTCCTCTCCCCAGGCTACAGGTGAATTTCTGCTCTGGCACCTGGAGCACTTCCACCCCCTCCTCCTTCTCTGACCTTGGTGTCGGCAGGGTTGTTTTACACATTTTTTCCTTACTGTTGTGCTGTATTTTGCCCCATCATAAACATGTCTTCTCAGAGGTACCACCAGCTTCACTAATTGGCTCAGCTTTGGCCTGGGGTAGGTTAATTTTGCAGCCAGCTTGGATCAGCTGTGTCCATCATAGGAGCAGGACCTTACTTTTTGCCAAAGATGCCACCCTTGCAACCCTCCTGCTACCAAAACCTGGCAACAGACACCCAATATACCCAGAAAATAAGTTTCTTTTATTTACCTCTCATCTTATACCAGACTTCTTGTTTTTATTTTTCACCAACAGGTGAAAGGCATTTCTTATCATTATCCCATTAGTGCAGAATTGCTCCTCCTACTTCAGTGGTAACTTGAGTCATCATGTTTCTTCCTGTATTTTTTAAAATCTCTAACCAAGACACTCCTTCCAACAGGTAAGAGCACAAGACTTTTTTAAAACTAGAAAGGACACACAATTAAAGTAGCAAAATGATATATTCTAGATGTCTTTTGGGGCAGGTGCATTCTACTTTAAAATTCACAAGAGATACCTGAGGATTATCGAATGAGAAAGAATAAAGTGAAGAGTATCTTAGCATTGTATCTTAGCATTAGTAAGGAAGAAGTATTTTATTAATTAAACTTATGAGTATTTTTGTTAGTTAATCAGGTACTGTTCTGAGATTTGTACTGTAGTTTTAGTTACTTTACGTCATTGAACTAATGATTTGTTGATACGTAACGTTCCTCCAATGTTGTTGGTTGAAAATGTAACATCCTCTGCTTTGGCATGGCAAATATCTATTAATCTGATCTTTGTAATATAGGTACAGATATTTAGCATAGCAGGGAATCAAGGCTTGTGGAAGAACACAAACACATAAAAGTGATAGCTAGATACAAGTTTTGATATTTTCATTCATTCAAAATGTTTAATTGTTGAGACAGAAATGTTAATACTCTGTCCTTTAAATAGACTATTTTGAAAAGATGCTGTAAATGCCAGCTAGTGGAATGTGAGCAAGTGTGCATTTACATACGTAGCTCAGCTTTTGTGCCAAGCAGCTCAGCGTGACTCTGGGATTCAGCAAAGCAAAGGGAGGGGGCTTCCTTGGGGATGCCTTATTGTCCCCTAACCTGCCTTTCAGGTGATTAATATGACGCGGGGCGCTTTCCTGCACTGTGCTTGCATTGCCTCCGTCTTATACCCTATGCATTTAAAATAAATGCTAGACCCTTTCAAGTCATCTTTCACTCCCCAGGTGCTTCCTTACAGCACTAACTTTTCCTGGGTTTTATTGCCCTACCCAACAACTCTTTCTCTGCCCTTTAGCAGTTCACCAAGGTTTACTACTAAGAGAGGACAAGAGTACAAGTTTGTTGGGAGTTAAGCTAGATTGCAGGTGCAAGATAACACAGCCGTAGAGATAGGGAATGGGGTGTGCTGATTGATTTAGTCAGTCCAAGTAAGTTTGAAGCCACATGTTCTTGTGCCCAAGAATAAGGGCTGTCAAGGCACAAGAACGGGCAGATTTCCCTCAGAGAAGGCAGCCAGGAGCTGTCAGTGACCCCACCAACACAATGCAATCCTTCAGAATATGAACACAGCAGGCAGGACCACGTGCTGTCTTTGTGTTTCTGCCTTTATCAAGATTCATTCCCTTCTGTTTCACTCCTCTCGTGAATTCTTTCTCATTTTTATAGTGCATCATCCAGTTCCCAGGGGAATAGAAGGAATTTGGCTTGACCCTCATGACATGTTTGTGCTCAGAAAGAAAGCTTGTACTAGTCCTGTTCTTTGTTCTTCCAACATGTGTTTTAATTGGAAAGTGGCTTACAGGTAAGAAACTCGCTACTGTATCCAGCTAGCCAATTGTCCTAAGATATCATGCCTGCACTTCAGTTCAAAGTCCCTAAAGAAACAAAGGCATTGTAGATCCTATGTGGTGTCTGACACCTCCAAGTCCCAGTCTGGGATAACTTCGGCCATTCTGATGATGTGAGACACCCCAGTCCTGCTCTGGGGCATCAGCTATTTCAGGGAAGCAGAGTAGGTGCAGCAATTATCTTACTACACACGTGAGGGAGCCATGTTCAGTCTGTCCTGTGTCACAGACCCAGGCACTGTGGAGAGCAAGAGCCTGTGCAGATTGCTTTGCAGGTTGTAAATCTGCTGCAAGTGCAGATCATTTCACTGATCCTTTCACATCCTTGCATATCCTGTGTGGTAACTTGCTCTTAGCTCAGTGAGCTTTGGTTTGCAGTCCTTGCACCAGCATGCCTATTGTCTTTCTGAGTAAATCGCTGCCCACAATACCTGTAAGTAACACAACTGACTTTTGTAGAACCAGGAAATTTGGTAACCGTAAAGCATGTCTGGAAACGTTGCTAGCAATGACTCTAGACCCTGTCCTCACTCTTGTAAAGGACTATGAGACTCTAGCCTAGAGCTCAGCTTTCTGTTTTGGATTCAGCTAACACATGTAGCTTTCTTCCCTCTATGGAAAGATGACACTCGTGGGGAAAGCCAGTGCATTTGATGAGGGACTTCAACCACCCAAACATCTGCTGGAAAAGTAGCATGGGGAGCTGTAGGCAATCCAGGAGATTCCTAGAATGCATTGAGAATAACTTTTTAAGCCAGTTAATTGACACCCCTACCCGAGGAGTGCAATACTGGACCTGATGCTCACCAATGCAAGTGAGCTCATTGGTGGCGTCAAGACTGGAGGCACCCTGAGCTGCAATGGTCATGCATTGGTGGAGTTCACAGTCCTGAGGGATACGGGAAAGGTGAGGAGTATAGTCAGGACCCTAGATTTTAGGAAAGCGAAATTCCAGCTCTTCAAGGAGTTAGTCAGTAGGACCCCCTGGGAAATGGTCCTCTGGGACAGGAGGGCAGAACAGAGCTGGCAGATCTTTAAGGACACTTTCCAGAGAGCACAGAGCTCTCGGTCCCCAGGTATAAGAAGTCAGGAAAGGAAGGGAAGAGACCAGCAAGGCTGGGTTGATACCTGCTGGTCAAACTATAGGGCAAGAGGGAACTAGATAGGCAGTGGAAGCAGGGACAGGTATCTTGGGAAGAGTATACGGATGCTGCCCGGTTGTGTAGGGGTGAAGGCAGGAGGGCCAAGGCGCAACTGGAGCTGAACTTGGGAAGGAATGCAAAGAATAACAAGAAGGGCTTCTACAGATATGTCAACCAGAAAAGGAAGGTTGAAGAAAGCGTACTCCCTCTGATAAACCAGAATGGCAAGCTCGTATCAATAGACGAGGAGAAGGCTGAGGTACTCAACAATGCCTCAGTCTTCACTGGCAACCTCTCTCCTTGCCCCCCTCAGCTGATGGACTGCAAGATGGGGACCAGAGGGCCAAAGCCCCTCCCACTGTAAGGGAAGATCAGCTTTGGGACTACCTGAGGAACCTGAATGTACATAAGTCTATGGGACCTGAGGAGACGCATCCCAGAGTCCCGAGGGAATTGGCTGATCTCATTGCCAAGCCGCTCTCCATGATATATGAAAGGTCATGGCAGTCAGGCAAAGCCCCTAGTGACTGGAGGAAGGGAAAAATTGTGCTCATTTCTAAAAAGAGTGGGGAGGAGGAACTTGGGAACTACCAACTTTCCTGGACAGCTGTGTGCTTTCTAGGGACCTCAGTCTGGGTTGCAGCTTCCTTTCTGACCAGCAGGGAAGAAGCAGCCTTCTGACAGCGGGGTGCCATGGCTGGGCTTCCTTCCTGCAGATGAGTTGCCTGAGCTTGCCTCGGGAGCCTCCTCCTTCCCTGCACACCCTGCCTGCGCAAACTGCCGCGCAAACTGCCGTGCCACACCCTGTTTGCCCGCCCTGTTCGCCGTGCTCCTGGTCACTCGCGCTCTCTAGGGTTTGCTCTTGTACTCAGGAGGGTCACACCTCTGTCACCGCTGGCTCCGCCCCCGCTGAGTCAGAGCTGCCCGCTCGTTAGCAGCTGAGTCCTGCCTGCTCTGAGGGGGAGGGGGGGCTGGGGTGCCTTCTCCCTCCCTGCGCTTTTGACTGCATGATACTGCCGCTGTGGGAAAGGGTCCCACGGCGCGGTTGTCCACTCCGGAGCCTTTCGCCTCAGTGGCTTCGCTGAAATGCCCCTGCTGAATGGCTTCACTGAAATGTCCGACATGGACCTGTTGGAGCGGGTCAAGAGGAGAGCCCCAAAAATGATGAGAGGGCTAGCGCACCTCTCCTATGAGGAAAGGCTACGACAGTTGGGGCTGTTCAGCCTGGGGAAGAGAAGGCTCTCGGGACACCTTTTTTGCAGCTTTTCAGTATCTGAAGGGGGCCTGTAGGAAAGATGGGGAAAATCTTTTCAGCAGAGCTTGTTGCGACAGGACAAGGAGCAATGGCTTTAAACTAAGGGAGGGTAGATTTAGACTAGATATGAGGAAGAAATTGCTTATGATGAGGGTGGTGAAACACTGGAACAGATTGCCCAGAGAGGTAGTGGAGGCCCCATCCCTGGAACCATTCAAGGCCAGGTTGCATGGGGCTCTGAGCAACCTAGTCTAGTTGAAGATGTCCCTGCTCACTGCACGGGGGTTGGGCTAGATGACCGCTAAAGGTCCCTTTCAACTCAAAGCATTCTATGATTTTATGATTCTATGATTTGCTTCCACCTCTTCCTTGCAGGTGAAGTGCCTATTACCATCACCATCGAACCATCAGTTGTCCTTGTTGAAGAACAAGTGGCTCTGTCCTGCCAGCTGACAGACAGCGTCCCCTCTGACACAAGTGTGCTTTGGTACAAAATGGAAAAGGGGAGGGATGCCCCACTGTGCTCTTCCTCCAGCCTTGGTGGGATGGTGGAGCAGTGCCAGGTTGAAGAGCAGTGTAGGATTGCGGGATACTGGCAGAAAAGAGCGCTTCTTCTGGTTATCCGGCAAGTGCAAGTAGCCGACGAGGGCACATATGTTTGTGCAGTGAATGGCAGTGCTGTCACACAGGAGGCTATGACTCATCTTAACGTTACAGGTAAGCAGGGAGATATTCTCAGTGAAATGCAACCTGCTATGACCACGCTGTGTTTAGATCCCATTGTGGTTCTGTGGCTCTACCTATTACTTGCTGCATAGCTGAGACCTTGTCATGGTTTAACCCCAGTAGGCAGCTCAGCATCACACAGCTGCTTGTTCAGCACAGCAGCGTCACTCCCTGCACCGGTGGGATGGAGGAGAGCATCAGAAGGGCAGAAATATGTAACTCATGAGTTAAGATAATGAGAGTTTAACAGGTAAAGCAAAAGCTGTGCACACAATCAAAGGAAAATGAGGAATTCATTCACTACTTCCCATCAGTGGGCAGGTGTTTAGCCATCTCCAGGAATGCAGGACTCCATCACGCTTAACGGTTGCTTAGAGAAACTGGGGAATAAGCAAAGACGTGGGAAGTAGGTGGAAAGACTTGCTTCAGTCCTGAATATTCAAAAGCTGGGCTCTGAGGGGGATAGGGCACGTGGGAAAATAGTGCTATGGGGAACTGCATGAAGATGCTGAATATCGCTGTATAAATCCCTATATAGATGCTGAATATATTAAGATGCTGAATAACCCTATATAAACAATCAATAATTGTTTTCTCTTCTGGGATTATGAATGCTCAGCCTCTCTGGTTAGGGCTGGTTTAGTTTGCAAAATGAAAAAACAATTACTCAGAGCTATTAGGGAGGGTATTTACTGATGTGCAGTACACATAAATGGTAAGGTAAAGGCCTCTTTTCCCTCCTCATTAGAAATCTCCCATCTCAGAAGACCTGGCCAAAATGCCAGCCTTAAAGCACTTCACTGAAGCACCTTACCAGATCTGACCTGTTGGACAAGTCACACTCTGGAGCTTAGTCTGAGGGCATAGAAACACCTAGTATCCAGAAATCTGGCATCAGTTTATTCGGCAGATCAATGGCATGTTTGAAGGCCCTTTTCATTTGTTTTTTTTTTGAATCTACCATATGCTAGGCTGACTTGATGCCTCCTGTTTTGGTGTTGGACAAGACAGGGAACAATTTCTTGCTCTTCTTCCTCTCCACCCCCTTCCTTTTTTATGGACCTGTGTCACATCCCCCTCAGTCCTGTGGAGAGTGCTCATCTATTTTGCAAAATGCTAGATGCTCTTCCTGACCTTTGATCATCCAAGCTCACTGAAGTTCACTGCTTCTCTGTGGTAAGATGCCCTAGAGCTCACCATGGTTGGAGTCCGGGTAAAACGGCTCCTTTGATCTGACCAGGATGGTTTTTTTTAGGAGCTACAAATTTTTAGAGCAACATAATGAGGTTTTATGAGTTTTGCCGGTTTATTTTGTTGTTGTTGTTTTGCAGTAACTCTAACTTGATTTCAGACTCATTGATTTACTCTGTTACAGCTATTGGATATAAGCCAACTTTAGACAGGAATCTGCAAGAGGAGAATATGTGTCGCTACACGTGTAAGTCAAAAAAATGGTACCCAAAGCCTGAAGTCATTTGGATGAACTATGGAGGGGACACAGTATATGTGGAGGCCAAGACCAATGTAACCTGGAGTGAGAGAGACCATTTCACAGTGCAAAGCATCATCACATTGCCTTGTGAGAACGTAGATGTGGTGTGTGTAGTCAAACTCATCAAATCCGAGATAAGCCGATCAGGTAGGTCACATTTTTACACCTGCATCTTCTTTCCTGAGGGAATCAGACCCCTCTGTTATTTCTAGAAGAGCTGAAATTGGACAGGTCTCGGTACCTTCCCTGAAGCCCCAGGCATCCTGCAGAATCATACCCTTCAGGAGAAATCTTTGCTGTTGGGCAAAGGATGTTTGGCCTTGTGTCATCTTCGGGGAAACAACATGAAACCATCACCCAGGAAAGTGCTGAGAGCGATCTCGCTGTTCTGCCTCTTTGGGCCAAGTTCAGTAATAGCTTAAGGGGCTCATACCTTTCCCTTATTTTTAACAGTTTGAACCTGAGTACTGTTATCTCTTTAGCATCACTTCTGTTTTTAACCTTCTCACCTGAAGTGAGATCTCTTTCATGGTGTACTTGGTATTTCTCTGTTGTGCCAGATGTGGTGGTGTTCACTTGTCTCTGTTACAGGTTCCATGAATGAAATTCTTGCACCACACTCAAGCACTTGTACATACAAAGGCAAAATAAGAGGCACCTACGAAAAGCCCAAAGTGATGTGGGTTAATCACGAAGGAGAAGATCTATCTTCACTGGCCCAGACGAGCATTCTACAGGAGATGGACAATGTATTTGCAATAGAAAGCTCCATTGAGCTACCCTGTGGAGAGCCGCCACCTTTTTTTGTGACCACTGATAGGGAACACAGTCCACAAATTGCTCAACAGTCAGGTATGCAGCAACTAAGACTTACATCATGTGCTCTGGCATTCTCCAAGCAAGCAAAGCGACTGTCCTTTCACTCAGATACTGCATCGTCCACTACTAATGAGAAGGCTGGGCCTAATGCTGTGAATTATTTCACGCAGTTTCCCACAGCACTCAATAGTTGAATCCCTTTGGGAGTGTCACAAAAATTCGTGACTGGCCCATGCTGACCAAGGAGAGAAGCTAGAATGCACAATATAGAATTGCAAGACTAATTTTCTTATTCATGTGCATGAGGTGTCCCAGTCAAATTGGGAAACCTGAATGTGGTTTTACAGATGGTTTGTACACCTTTCAAGTGTTCAGTTACAACATGATTTGACTAATTGCTACTTAACACACACATACACACACATACTAGTGTTTGAAAAGCAGTGATAAATCCCCGGTGTCATCATCCACCTGCTTCTTTATCAATCTAGATGGCCCTGGAGTCAGTCTCACTACAGTTATCTATGACACCAGATACTGGGGGGGTTTCACAGAGGTGGTAGAGGGGCCGGGATGCTTGTGTTATCTCAGTAGTCCAGGGGTATCCTTTATCCTTCATGGACAGGTTTAAGATTTTGAGAAAAAAATGTCCTCATCTCCAGGTGCAGCTGTCCTCCTCCTTCCAGTGAGCTTGGTTCCTATTCCTATGAATACAATTTCATGCTGTAAAGACTAATGGGTACAATAGTTAGGGAATGAGATGTTGCCTAAGAGGAGTCTACTGCTCAATACTTTGAGGAAGTCAATGAGTCTGCAGTCATGGCATCCCACTATCAGAACTGTGTCTGAAATGGGAAGAACATCTTCTGACTCCAGGGAGGCCAAGAAGACAGTGGACTCCAGAGCTAAGTGCACATTAGCCTGTTTCTCAGCATGAACCTCTATTTTTTGATGCTGGCAGAGAAGTTTTTCTGGCCGATCTTTGGACTGTCAGCTGCTGAGATTTGTACTATTAAGGAAAGACTTTGGCATTAGGCTGTTAGAGGGTTATTCTGCCTGAAAGGTGGTGTTTAGCAGAAAGGCTCAGGCTAAACTTTCCTCTGAAATTTCTTCTTATTCAAAGCTTTGAAGGTCAGCATGTCTTAAGCTAAAGTATTTTTATGGCATCACTTAGAACAAAATTGCTCGCTTCAGAGTCCAATTGCAAGACTAAAAATAATTAACCACTTCTCAAAGAAAAAAAAATCATACTTCCCAGTTTAACTCAAATCTGGTTTTCAGTGCATGTACGTGGAAAATACCTGGACACAAGGCAGTGAATTTAAAATGCAGCTATCAGTGTCTCATTTCAGCTTTCATGTTTCCAGATGAATGATTTTACTGAAAGTGGTTCTCTGGTAACCGTGTCCAAATATTGCAGATTGTGTGATGCCATGGCCACTCTGTGTATGTGCGGGCTAGACAAGAAAATTCATGTCATTTTTTTAATCTCTTTTTCTCCATTTTTCAGAAAACAGGAACTTGTCCTGGATTATCTGCCTCCTTGTTGTCATTATTTTACCAGGTAAGCTATTTCCTTGTCCCAAAGATCTCATTATCCAGTTCATATTGACAGTGAAGAATCAACCACACAGCCAGTTGTGGGGTGGCTTTTGGCTTTTTTTTTTTTTTTTTGTGAAGTGTCTCCCAATAGCAACTATGGACTTACTATTTATGGTGCCTTTGCTTTTCAGCACCCTTTCAGAGGAAGATTGGTAAGTGTGGATGTTTGGGGTTTAGTGTCCTTGCGTGCCCATGGTGCTAACTCATTAGTGGAGACTTGACAGTGCCAGGATAGTCCTATTTCTGAGCCTTTGGCTGTGCTCCTGGCCCAACATGCACTCATTAGGGCAGGCTGGATGTTCTCGCGATGGAGGAACACTGTTGCTGACTGGGCTTTGTTGTGAAGGCTCTGTATACTTGCAGCTGAATCAAGGGCAGAAGTGGTGGCCCAAGAGAGAGAATCCTCAGCACCTGACATGCCAAAGGATGCTAGTGGAGGCAGCAGCCATGCAAGGCATCTGTGCCAGGCAGGTGCATTGACATGAGGTGTAGGGAGCAGGTGGGAAGATAGTGGGTCTTAACAACTGTGGATGCTGGATGCTGCTGTTCCCAGAACATAGTAAGTCCCCGTCTCCACTGCTGGTAGCAGGTCCTGCCTGGGCAGCCCTGATTGCTCCTGCTGCTTTCTCCCTACCCTTCATTTGTAGAGGAGCTCCAGTCACAACACAGAGCAGCAAGGGACGCTGAGAAGGGTGACTGCATGAAGTGTGCTGCCACCATAGCTATGTGCCTGGGGGAGCTCTGGCTGGGGGTGGGTTTGGAGGAGAATGAATCTACTTTGCTGAAGAATTCCTGGGCATAACCGCTGTCTTCCTTGGAGTCAAGACACTAAACAATGTGTCCTCCCTTCATCCTCTATTCTTGCAGAGAACAAGAAGAAAGAAATCGGTGAGTATCACTGACTCCCTGGGGGCTGTGTGTGTGAGTGGATCCTAGGATGCAGTGCCAGGGTGGGTCAGTGGAGGGAAAGTCACCTCTGACACCACGAGATAGCCAAGAGGGTTTGCAGTCTGAGCTTGACTGGTGTCAAGAATGCTGAGAGACAGCTGGGTTGAAGGTAACCTCTCCCTGCTTTCCCTCTGCTTTCTTCCACCAAATGTCCCCAGGGAAAGGACCTGTAGGTGCAGCCACGGCCCTTGCAACTAGTGAGATTTGGGGTTGCTGTGGCAGGTGGCTGGTGGTGTCCAGGCTGGTGGAGGCTTTGGTGCAGATAGGAGTATGAGGGAAGTAGATAATTGATGGAAAGCTGCAGTGTGGCTGATGGGGTGGAGAGCCTAGGTCTCTGACTAGCCCTGGGTCCTGGTAGGGATGTGGGTGTTTGTGGTTGGTGGAAAAAAATCCCAGTCAGAGACACATGATGGGTAGCTCCAAGGAGCATGAGGCATCCACTGTGCCAGAGGAGTTTTTCATCCCTCCCTGTGATGGACGATCCCTGAGTGGACTTGCTTGCAAGGACCTTGTGGGTCTTGCTCTGACTTGACGTCTTCTTCTTGTACGGCCATGGTGACCTGGCAGAGGAACTTCGTGCAAAGAATGGTGAGTCTTTCTACTTGCCCTAATGCCTTCCCCAATGAGACAGAGCCCTTGGGGTGGGTGAGGAGGGACGCTCCAGCAGTGCCAATAGCTTCCTGAGTGCCACACTGAGAGGGCCTGCCAGCACCCCAAGGCTCAAAATGGCAGAGGTGCTCCCTGGCTTGAGCTTTACCAAGACAGTGCCCCATGGCCAGTAGTGGGCTGGTTTCTGACTCTTCCTTTCTGGGGGGTTTCCCGATAGCTGGTGTGGAGGTACTATTTATGGTGCCTTTGCCTTTCAGCACACTTTCGGAGGCAGAACGCTAAGTGTGGACATCTGAGGTTTAGTGTTCTTGCCTGCCCATGGTGCAAGCTGACTAGTGAAGAGTTCAGTGTGCCAGAGTGGCCTTATTCCCACGGTCCTTGGCTGTTTTCCTGGCCCAATGTGCACTCATTAGGGCTGGTGGGATGTTCTCGAGATGGGGGGACACTATTGCTGACTGGGCTTTGTGGTGAAGGCTCCGTGTTCTTTGCTGTTCAGTGAAGGAAGAAGTGATGGCCTAAGAGAGAGAATCCATCCCCAGTGAAAGGGATCACTGTTCCCTGGGAAGTAGGGAACTGCCAGACTAAATTCCCTGTATGAGCCAGAAAGAAGGGACAGGGAGCTTGTGGTGGAGGAACTCCAGCTTCTTGCTTGCTGGGTGCTGATTGAGGGGTGGTGTCGCGTCCCTCAGTACCTGACATGCCAAGCGAGGACATGTGGCTGTGATGCTGGTGGAGGCAGCAGCCATGCAGGGCATCTGTGCCAGGCAGGTGCATTGACATGAGGTGCAGGGAGCAGATGGGAAGGTCTCAGGCAGCGTAGCTGCTGGATGCTCTGTGCCCAGAGCTGAGAGAGCCCTCGTCTCTGCTGTTGGCAGTGGCTCCTGCCTGGGCAGCCCTGATTGCTCTCCTTTCTCCCTAACCTTCATTTGTAGAGGAGCTCCATTCGCAATACAGGGCAGCACGTGATGCAGAGAAGGGTGAGTGCAAGCAGCGCATTGCCACCGTGGCTCAGTTCCCAGGGGAGCCGTGGCTTGGGGTGGGTGTTCGCAGAGGTCAAATCTGCCTTGCTGAGGTCTTCACATGTTGTTCCAAGAATGGCCACGGTGGGAGTTATGCAGCATGGGCAGCCAGGCAGGAAGCACAGGCTAAGCCTGGCTCCAAAGAGTGCCTGGAGGCCAGCATGCATGCTCTCTGAAAGAGGGATGTGCTGTGCCCCTGTCCTCCCTGGTTCCTGGTTGAGGACTCATGGGGCAAGACTTCCTTGCAGATCCCAATGGCAGTGGTGCTATGAGACATGAGTCTCTGCTCCTGTCACTCCCATGGTCCCCGGAGGATGATTTTCCCTGATTCCTTGGAGTCGGGGTGCTAAGCAAGGTGTTCATTCTTCCCCTTCTTTTCTTACAGAAAACCAGAAGGAAATTGGTGAGTATCACTAACGCCCTGGGGGAGACCAAGGTGGGGTAGCAACGGGTGCCAAGAAGGGTGACTGCATGCAGTGCACTGCCACCATGGCTCTGTGTTTGAGTGAGCCCTGGCTGGGGACGGGTGTTGGCAGACGCCTTCCTCCTGCTTGACGAATAAGACCTAGGCTTTTCCCCATCTTCCTTGGACTCACAATGAGGATCTAAGCAATTTGTCCTCCCTTCCTCCCCTCTTCTTGCAGAGAACCTGAAGAAGGAGATTGGTGAGTGTTGTTGTCTCCCTGGAGGTCGTGTGAGCCAGCTAGTTGTGAGGTTTGGGGGTCTTCATAGTGTCTTGCTTGTGGCGTTCTGGCTGGTGGAGGCCTTGGCAGGAGAGTGAGAGTAGGATCTGTTGAGAGAAGGACATAACAGGGCTGATGTGACTGGAGAGCCTGGGCCACCAACTACCCCTAGAGCCTGGTGGGAAAGTGGGTGGTGACGGGCTACTGAAGAAATCCCTGCTAGAGTCAGAAGCTTGTGAGATGCAGCTCCAAGGAGTCTGAGCCACCTACCATACCAGGTTTTTTGTCACTTCCTTCGGCAAAACGTCCTACAGTGGACCTCTTTGTAAGTTGCAGTTCTTGTCATGACTTAGTGTCTTCTTCTCTTGCTGCCCACGGTGACTTGGCAGAGAAACTGCATGCAAAGAATGGTGAGTCTTTCTGGTTTCCTACATGATTTTGTGTTTATTGCCAGTGAAAGTTGTATATATTTGCTCTCCGAGTTTCTTGGAAATACGTCACCTGAATCTCCAGGAAGCTGTTTCCATTTATGAAGCCAAACCTAATCCATGGGAATAACCCACAGTAGCTTAAATGGGCTGATTTGTAGATGCTGTATCCTTCCATTGTCCTTTAGTTACCTCCAGCTTTAATGACCTGGCTATACTTCTGTGTCTGTTGCCCTCTGATGTGCAAAAGATTACCTCATATCACTTGTACCTATTAGCCTTTCTAGTTGGAAAAGGCCCTCCTTGTACGCATAGGAAGAACAAGAGCCCACTTAGGAATGACTGTGAATCTCATGTGGAGCTGACTGCATGGAAACCTACAGTGACTCCAGAAATAGTGGTTTAAAATATGGCATTTCAGGATATGGCTGAACTTTGGCATAAATTGAATTATCTCTGTCCAGAGTCATCCTGTAGTGTTACCAAGTATTGATGTCTAATCCATAGTAACATTTTCTTTCTGTATGTTTATCTTGTTTGCAGTGGATCAGAGGAAAGAAATTGGTAAGTCATTATTGTCCCTTAAGTCCCACCAAGTGAAAGGGAAAGTCTGAGGAGAGGAAGGGATGGTTCTTGTTTTACAGAACATTGAATTTAGAGCTCATAACTTGAACTCCTGGGGCTTCAAAGCCTTCCCTGCACACAGTTCCAGGTGCACATCGCACACTTGTCTGTTCACATGCTCTGACATTCATCTAAAACTTGATGTTTTTAACATGCAAATGCCTGCCTTTGAGCTATTTCTTTAAGCTGACATCTCAGGACTTCATGATCTTACCCTGTCAGGTCATCTTTTCATCTCTTACACTTGAAAGCACAAGCTCAGCTGATTCTGACCTGGCAAATATTTACTTGTCTGGTTTGACTTCTCAGCAGCTTGTTTTTCTATAATAGACTCTGCCTGCCACCTCTTCTTCACTATCCTTCCCTGCCTAGCTGCTATTGCGCAAAGCTGTCACGGTTGCACGGACCCAGAAACTGATCAGCAAGCACACTCCTCCCCCCAGAGGATTAGGGAAAATACACCCAAACTGTTCCTTTGTATCCACCCCTACGTGAGATATTCATGAAATTTGGCTGAAATTTATTTCCATGAATGTCACTAAGGGGACTCTCTTTCTGCATCTCCGGAAATGTTGGGATGCTGACCACGAATCTCACATGGTTTGAAATGTGGAGTGTGGCTGGTGGGGCATTCATGTAAAATGCTGGCAAGGCGGCAAATTGGGACCTGAGAGAGAAAGTAGTTCCCAAGTAGGAAACTCATCCCAGCTTCAGATCCTTCTTCAGACCCTGCAGGTAATCACAGGGCTTGAGAGAGCACAAGGAAATTTGAGCATCTGTTGACCCGCATAGTTTAATCCTAGATTCAGTCTGAGATTCCCCAGCTTTGAATTGGGACAGCTTTTCAGCCAATGTTTGGAGTTTGGTTTTTCTTACCTTTTCTTTTCTCCCTCCCCGCTCCTCATCCCACCTCCCCACCCCTTATGTGCTTTCAGAATTCAGAAAGGCTCGTGGCAATGCAGGTAAAATAATGTATTTACTTATGTCTGTACTAAATGGCTTGAAATCTGTGAATACCACAGAAGCAATGCTGAACATGGACTGGATTGTCAGCCCACGAATGCCTTTTATTCCAGTGATACGGATACATTTCACTTGGCAGTGAAATATTTGGAAGTTAAAGTGCAATTCATATGTCTGAGTGCAGTCCTTCTTTATTCATGGCTTAGAGGTCTTTCTAGACTAGTTGTAGGGAGATTTTCAGAAAGAAATGCAGTACCGTATATTTTCCTTCTCTTCTTGTATATTTGCTTTAGAGGAGTGTTAATAAAGCCCCAAATATCTGTTTGTTGTAGATGACATCAAGGTTGATGGCGACACAGCCCATCCAAATTTGTCTGTTGCTGTGGACAAGAAGAGTTTTATGCATAGATCACAGGCCCAGAAAGTGACTCAAAATGAAGGGAGTTTTGATTCATCTGTCTGTGTGCTGGGCTCAGAAGGTTTCTCCTCTGGGAAGCATTACTGGGAGGTGGACGTTGAAAAAAGCAATGACTGGGACCTGGGAGTAGCCAGAAAATCTGCCCCGAGGAAAGGAGTAATGTCTCTGTCACCTAAAGAAGGATTCTGGGCCCTGGGCTTATGTTTCAAAGGTTACTGGGCAAGAACGGATCCATGGACACGGTTAGTAGTGCAGAAAAATCCCAAGAAAGTTGGAGTCTACCTTGATTGTGAAGAGAAAAGCTTGACTTTCTTCAATGTGACTGACATGTCTGTGCTATTCACTTTCAAAGACTGTGCATTCTCAGAAGAATTGTATCCCTTCTTTAAAAACTCACACAAAGAATCAACCATGAGAATCTGTTCAGTTAAAGAGGAATAATTTTTTTTAAATATCGTAATTTTGCTGATGTGAAAGATCATATCATTTTCTTAGACAAATTTAATGCTTAATTGCAATCTTTGTGTTACACTTGCTTGATCACATTCTGTATTGTGCACAGTTTCATATCTTGGCTTAAAATATTTTCCTTTCTCCCAGCCTTTTCTGTATGCATTTTGTCCATTCCTCGCAGATTGTGTGCAAAGTGAGCTGCTCCGTGACGCAACCTGGTAAATGATAGGTTTATCTTAGGAACAAAGATGTAGCAAGGAAGGATGGCATCTTCTCCAACAGCTTGGATGACAACTTTGTTAGGGGAATGGACTGTAAACTGACCTGAGAAAAACAGTTATGCACATAGTATGATTTATTGCTGACTTAATGTGGGAACTGGTTTCAAAAGAGAAGCACTTTTTTAACAGAGCTTCTTCCACTGTTTCTTCAGTGAACTCCTTAGAAAAAGGGCCAGAGCATGTACTTTGTGATATACCCAGGACAGTGGCACATGAACTGTTCACCAGATAGATGCATGCACTTAGGTGAGATTACCTCCAAATTCAGACATGTGAGCTTGGGTGTCTGTATGTAGGGGGCTACTTGCGCACTAGCAGCTGGAACAGATGTCCTAAACTTAGGCATTTGGTATCACTGGAGGCACACTAGTAGAACCACAACATTGACATGGAGCTGCAGGAGATGACACAGCACAAATGGGAGACCTTCCATAGAACTACATGGAGACCAGACTGGGTACCTTATGCCATTTTAAGTGGCAAGAGATATCTCCCTTTGGATAATGGAGTAAGACCCTAAACATCTACATTAGCGCAATGTAAATAGATCTTTATTCATGAATCACAGAATACCAGGTTGGAAGGGACATCAAGGATGATCGGGTCCAACCTTTCCTGGCAAAAGCACAGTCTAGACAAGATAGCTCAGTTCCCTGTCCAGCTGAAATAACTTCTCCAATGACATATTACTCCTATGGGGAGTGTCTGAATATACTGGGTTTGTCCAGTTTGGAGAAACGGTGACTGAGCCGTGACCTCATTGCTCTCTACAGCTTCCTGAGGAGGACAAGTGCAGAGGGAGGTACTGATCTCTTGTCCATGGTATCCGGTGGCAGGACACATGAGGGTGGTTCAAATCTGCCTCAAGGGAGATTCAGACTCGACATTGGGCAACATTTCTTTACTGAGAGGTGGCAAACACTGGAAAGGGATTCCTAGAGAGGTGGTTGATGCCCTAAGCCTGTCAGTGTTTAAGAGGCTTTTGGACAATGCCCTTCACAATAAGCTTTATCTTTCGGTCAACCCTGAAGTGGTCAGGCAGTTGGACTACATGATTGTTGTAGGTTCCTGCGAAATGGAACTACTCAAGTCTAGTCTAGTGTAGCCTAGTCTACATCTTTTCTATTCTATTCCATTCTATTCCACTCTACTCTTTTCTTTTGTGTGGCAAGGTTGGGGGAGTGGGGGGTCTACAAGGACGGCTTTTGTGAGAAGATGATAGAAGGTTCCCCTGTGTCCAACACAGCCAGTTCCAGCAGGCTCCAAGATGGACCTGCTGCTGACCAAGGCAGAGCCAGTCAGTGATGGTGGTAGTGCCTCCGTGATAACATATTTAAGAAGGGGAAAAAACTGCTGTGCAACAGCACCTGGGAGAAAGAGTGACAATGTGTGACAGAAACTACTCTGCAGACACCAAAGTCAGTGAAGAAGAATGGGGAGGAGGTGCTCCAGGCAGATCTCCACCTGCAGCCAGGGCAGGTGGATGCCCGAAGACATCTCTGACCCCCTGGAAAGGCCACACTGGAGCAGGCTTCTGGCAGGATCTGTGACCTTGTGAAGAGAAGACCACTCTGAAGCACGTTTGCTGGCAGGACCTGTGATTCCACAGGGGACCCACACTTGAGCAGTCTGTTCCTAAAGGACTGCACCGTGTGGAAAGGGCACATGCTGGAGCAGTTCATGAAGAACTGTAGCCCATGGGAAGGAGAAAGACTGGCAGTGGAGAGGCCCTTGGAGGACTGT